ATTGGTTGGTGACAATTGGTTGGTAGCAATTGGTCGGAGACAAATGGTTGGTGACACTTGGTTAATGGCAATAGGTTGATGACAATTGGTTGATGACAGTTGGTTGGTGACAATTGGTTGGTAGCAAATGGTTGGTGACAATTGGTTGGTGCAATTAGTTGGTGGGTGGGCGACACTTGGTGGGTGGCAATTGGTTGATGACAATTGGTTGATGACAATTGGTTGGTGACAATTGGTGGGCGGCAATTGGTTGGTGACAATTGGTTGGTGGCTAATTGGTGGGTGGCAACCCTGGAGTGCACCAAGCGCTGCCCCTGCCACACAAAACACAGCGCCTGCCACGCAAATCACAGCGGCGGAGCCCCGGCCGTGCCGGGCGTACATCCGACCCCCTGGAGCGCACCAAGCGCTGCGCCTGCCACGCAAATCACAGCGCCTGCGACGCAAATCACAACGGCACAGCGGCGGAGCCCAAGCCGCGCCAGGGCGTACATCCCACCCCCTGGAGTGAACCGACCAAGCGCAGCCCCTGCCACGCAAATCACAGCGCCTGCCACGCAAATACAGCCGCGCAGCGGCGGAGCCCCAGCCACGCCAGGGCCTACCTTCGACCGCCTGGAGTGCACCTAGCGCTGCGCCTGCCACGCAAATCACAGCGGCACAGCGGCGTAGCCCCAGCCGCGCCAGGGCGTACATCCGACCCTCTGGAGTGCGCCAAGCGCTGCGCCTGCCACGCAAATCACAGCGGCACAGCGGCGGAGCCCCAGCTGCGCTGGGGCGTACATCCGACCCCCTGGAGTGCACCAAGTGCTGCGCCGGCCACGCAAATGCCATGGTTGGTGACAATTGGTTGGTGGCAATTGGTTGGTAGCAATTGGTGGGTGGCAATTGGTTGGTTGCAATTGGTTGGTGACAATTGGTTGATCACAATTAGTTGGTGGCAGTTGGTTGGTGGCAATTGGTGGGTGACAATTGGTTGGTCGCAATTGGTTGGTGACAATTGGTTGGTGACAATCAGTTGGTGGCAATTGGTTGGTTCGGTGGGTGGCAATTGGTTGGTGGCAATTGGTGGGTGGCAAGGGTGCAATTGGTTGGTGACAATTGGTTGGTGACAATTGGTTGGTGGCAACTGGTTGGTGACAATTGGACGGAGGAGGAGGGGATCCAACACTAAAAACAAAAACCCACACGTCAATGTAGTGAAAAATCAAAAAAGTAACTGTAAAATGTCACGCTAAAGAACAAACAATGGCATATCTAAAAACAAACACACATAATCACAGACACACACAGCTTCACACATGCGCCCCATTTTCTCGCGTCACGCTGCGTTGGCACACATGGGAATGCGAAGAAGCGCGCACAAGGGCCAAGAACTTAGGGGCTTTGAGACAAACCGGAATTTCCGAAGAAGACGCTTTTGGATCGCTAGGCGAATAAGCAAAAAAGCGCGGCAAAAAATAATACCGAAAAGAGACAGCTTGAAGAAAGGCAAGATGAAGAAAAGCAAGACGTATGAAAGCAACACAAAGCTAAAGAACTGGACGACGGCTGGCCCGAGAGCGAGAAAGGTGATTGTCAAGCAATTCCGAGCAAGGAAATACAGTTGTTAAAATCGAGCTGTCCAAGAGCCATGACTTCTTTATACAATCTGTTATTGAGTAAGAAGTTGCGAGGAAATGAGATCAAAAATATTAAGAGAAATGATATGTAGAAAGAGAGAAAGGAGAGGGCGGACGTGAAGAAGTGACAGTGTGGATGCGCAGGTGTGATATAGATGTGCAGATGTGTGGGTGTGTGGAGGTAGAGAGTTAGATCTGCGGATGTGAGCGTGTGAAGATGTAAATGTCGATGCGCAGATGAAACGGCAGCGCAACGTTGTGGGTCAGGAGCGCCAACCTTGGTGCATTTCTCGCTGCGCAAGCACAACGCTGAAGAGGTTCGAATCAAACTGGTCCGTACGAAATGGACGTATGGGTGACCTGAGAGCAAACGACGTCATGATCATGACAAGCGGATCACGCACTCCAAGAGAACATCGTTTGCCATGAAATTGAAGTACACACATACTAACGTCACGATGACCCCTTTTTGGCAACCGCTGATCGCATCATTTGAGTCATGATGTCGCAGGTTCGGCCCGAACAGTTTCGACGGACGACCCGCGACATAAATTAGCCTCGGCATGCTGCGCTGAAGACTCGAGATCTTTGCCACTGAGCGCGCAAACCTTCTAGGCCTTAGGCGCCACAACGCTTCCAAGACATAGGGCCGATTGAAGCAGCAACTGCACGGCCTCATGTGCGGAATAGTCGTACGCTGCAACGAGCCAAGTACACAAAATCCCAGCGCTTCGATTGCACACGCATGGATTTGTCACCCGCATTTCACATGCACTTCGCGCCCTCGACACACACAATCTCCGCAGAGGGTTGCGCTGGACAAAACCAAAACACAATCTCACCTGCATTTCGCGCCCTCGACACGCCCGATCTCCGCAGAGGGTCGCGCGCGATCAATCCAAAACGCAATCTCACCTGCATTTCGCGCCCTCGACGCGCACGATCTCCGCAGAGGGTTGCGTGCGCCAAATCCAAAACGCGATCTCGCCCGCATTTCGCGCCCTCGACGCGCACGATCTCCCCGGGGGGTTGCGCGGGACAAGTCCAAAACGCAATCTCGCCTGCATTTCGCGCCCTCGACACAAACGATCTCCGCAGAGGGTTGTGTGGGACAAATCCAAAACGCAATCTCACCTGCATTTCGCGCCCTCGACACCCACGATCTCCGCAGAGGGTTGCGCTGGACCGGGTAAAAACGTATTCTCACCTGCATTTCGCGCGCTCGACATGCACGATCCCCGCAGAGGGCTGCGCTGGGAAAAAGAGTAGTCTCACCTGCATTTCCCGCCCTCGACGCGCACGATCTCCGCAGAGGCTTGCGTTTCGTGGTGCTCCGGCGGCACCGCCCCAGCCTTAAGAGAGAAAGAAAAGAAGAGCGACAGGATACGCAGATGTGGGATACGCAGATGTGAGATGCGCAGATGTGAAGATGTGAAGATGAGCAGAGATGTAGATGCGCAGATGTGAAGATGAGCAGAGATGTAGATGCGCAAAATGTAGACGCGCAGATGTGAAGATGTGAAGATGTAGATGAGACGTAGTTCTACAGATGCTTTTTACAAAAAACCCTTCGCAGACGCTCTCGGGGAAAATGTGGGAAAAAGGGTGGGTCTAACCCTGATGCTATCAGAAACCAGACTTCGGCCTTTGATCTACTCGTCACAATGTTTACACACTCATTCCAATCAACCCGTGTTGTTGCTACAAAACACAAATTCATATAGAACTCCTCTGGCCCGAGCACGCACTCTGGAGAAAGAGCTCAAAAAAGCACACTTCCGGGTGGCCCCAAGAGTGCAGTAACGATTTACGATCTAGCTGCTGCATTTGCCGACTAATGCAAAACGACCCGGTTCCAGGAGCCTGTCCATGGCCGTCCGCAAACGAGTTTGGGTTTGGGTTGTTGTTTTGTGGCTTGCACGCGTGAACCCTGACAAAGCTGGCGCTCCTTTTTCGACTGGCGCGGAATACGAAGAATGATTCATCAGCGCAATCAAAAGAAATAGTTACAATTCTGCCCCCTTGCCACTAACCAAACCATGCAGATTGAGTCAGCAGATACGTGGAGTCCGCGTCCTGAGTCCATATGAGGTGACTCATGACAGCCTCTTCGTTGGACGTTACAAGTCAGGCAGCCCCGCTGCTGCTAGCGACGTGCGTTAAATTGTTTCTGAGCAGCACGCTGGAAAAAAGCTTCAACACACACTCGGGATACTGATGCGTAAAGGGAATTGAAGACCTAAGGAAACCAGAGATCAGGTATGTAAAGCGGGTGGAACATGAAGGCTCCATGAACCCCAAAGATCTCATCCTGCAACAGCCTGAGAACCTCTACGATTGGAGAGTGGCTAGAACATTCACAAGCCGCAGGTAGGCGATCAGCCTTCCCCTCCCATCGATGACCGTAGCTTCGTTGCAAACAGTGGGTCACTCGAAGGGTTTCACACGCACGCGCCCCTGGCGTGGAGCGGCCAAGAACTTTCAAACTAAGGGGCAGGCTAATGCGCATCTGCGCGCGCACACAAAAGGAAAAAGACGATGAGAGGAAACGACACAAGACAAGTGTATGTGGTTGCGATGAAGGGGAAACCAAATGCACAGGGACAACCAGCGCAAGACCTGGGCAACCTAACCTGAAACCTGGTGTAAATGTAGACGCGCGCGTACATGCTAAGGGCCGCACCGACGTGCGCGCAAAAGAAAGAACGGAGTGAGATGACACGACATGGGGGTGGAGAAGGAAAGGAAACGTTTGTGAAGGGGAAAGGATGAAAGTGGAACCAAATGGAGGGACCGCCGGCACAGAAATCGCGCTTCTTTGGCAGTTTATATCTGCCGACGGCGCCTGAGCGACCAAGGTCGCCGCAGTTGAATACACCAATATTCAAGCGTGCAGTTGACCGCATGTTGGCCGGAGTAATTGGATTGGGTTGGCCTGGTGGCAATGATGTAGATGGGAGCGCTTTCATTTTTCAAATGTCTTCTCATCTGCAAAGAGAACTTCTGCTTCTTGCTTGGTGTTTCTTGTAGCGGGGCTGGCACGGCATTGGCAGTGAGAATAGTGCTTCTTCCCTCCCTGAATCACTACCTCCTTCAAAAAGCTTTTGTTATGCCATGACTGCATCTGCATCTTAATCTTTGAACTTCAACATCACATGCTCTCGGGGAATGCCTGTCTGCGCTACGGGCAACGCTTCTGCTCTTCTCTTTGCGGCAATGATCCTACCTCCAAGGTTTGTCTGGTACTCCCATGAGCAGGCAGTGAGGCTTTTTGTAGATTCCAAGTATTTGATCTGTTCTCCTGATGCCTTTGCTTAGCGCTACCTGCACACCATCTGTCAAGACATAGGTATCTGGCCTTTCCATTTTTCCCAAGAACAAGCACAGATGCCATCGAGCTTCTCCTTTGTTGAGACTTTTGATGTAACCACGAACTGGTCCTCCATATTCTGCCAGAAGTCCTTTGTAACTCTTGCCATAGACAAGTTCATATGGACTACCTTTGGCGTGTTGAAATCGATTCAACACCCAACTGGCATGTCTTGCTGCCCAAGTCCAAAGTGCATGATCTGATCCTATCTTGGTGCCAAGTCTCGACTGCAAGCCTTCCATGAAACTTCCTGCAAGCTTTCTCACCCTGTCAAAAAAGAGCGATCTCCCAATTTGGAAGTGTTCAATCTTGTAGAAAGTTCTAGGCTGCGACAAGCATTGATCAGAATCTTGAGGTTTTGTCTTGCTGTGGGTTCATTGACACTCCTGTAGGCGATTGCTGTATACCCCAACAATTGACTGAATTCATCAACTCTTGCGCAATGAGACGAAATTCGTTCTTGCTTCCTAGTGGCACAACATGAATGTATCCAGTCTGGCTGTCGATTCCAACTAGCCAACATACTGCTCTTGCTGGCTTTGTTTCTGAATCTTGCTCTAGTGTAGCAAAAGTCAAAGCTTACCTCACAAATACTTCCTCTCTTTACTCCATCTGTTCTTGCACGGCGATCCTTACACCAATTGGCAAAGGTTAAGTTAGTGTGTCAATCCGTGCCTTGCTTTGTCCTAGTGCTTCCCTTGTATCTTGAGTTTTGGCTGCATTCATTCACCAAACTTGTGGCGAAACTTCCATTCTCTTGTTGTGAGTGAGGTCCTTTGTGTAGACCTTGAACTTAGGGCCGCTACGTGAGATGCCGAATGAACGCGCTGCCCTCAAAGTTGCTTATAAAGTAGAACACTTAGTCACCTCTACTCCATTCACCAAGACTTTGTCTATATACATCCATTGGGCTTGAGGTCTTCTTCTTGCTTCTTCTTTCTTGTCTTCGACCTCCTTCTCCGGTGGAGTAGCGGTAATCTCCTCGGTTGCCTTCTCCACTTCTTCCTTTCTCCCGTCTCTGCTCTCAAGCTCCTTGTTTCCTGGTGCAAAGAACCCCATATCTTCAGGCGGTGCTGGCTCGTAGCTGAAGACTGTGATTGAAGGAACGACTGCATCATGATGAAAGAACTGCTCATCAAGCTCATCCTTTGTCATCATACGGCAAAGTCGTTCTCATCAGCTCTGGTGAATCTTCCAATGCTGGAATGAATGCGGGATCAACAAATCTTGGAGTCAATAAGTAAGCTTCCAACTAGTAGGCCACGCGCGTTAAGTTTCCAACCTGCTGCCTTTTCCAAAGCTTCAGGTACTTGCACCTCCAAGCAGCTTTCATCCTCATCTCGAAAAATTCCAATGCGGCCGCGCACTGTCAAAGCGCTATTTTTGCAAGTCGAGTAACACTTTCAAGTCACCATTCTCCAATGTTTGCACTCGACCACTGATTCCCCAACCATGTTCCATCAGTCTGCCATAGCAAAGTATGGGCTGCTTCACTTCTTGACTGAAGATAAAACTCTCTTGGAGAAGAACTTCACGTCCATCAATGTCACGCAAGGAGGTTGCGACACTTTTCGCACCCCTTAGGAATACGATTCCCCTGGGCATGCTGTAGTTTGGTAGCTGAATTGAACTCTAGCTCATGATCTGCCATATTCAAAGGGAATAAAGCTACATCAGCTCCACTGTCAATAATGATGGCCACATCATCTCTTTCTTCTCCAAGTCTTCTAGCTTCGGGTTGTTCATTCTCAATCTCCATCATCTCACAATCTTCTATGTCTAGCGCATCATCATCATCATCATCATCGTCATCTCCAATGTAGAAGTGAACTACTCGAATTCCATGATCTTCTGCTTCATCATGTCCTCCTCGCGGGTCAAAAATGATTGGTTTACTGTTCTCAATCCTTCTGGCCACTGGTTTGGTATCTGCTGAGCTACCTTGCTGACTCACATTGGCTTGTTGTTGACCAACTGTGTGACTAGTCACTGAAGCCCCTCCTGAAGATCAATGGACTGTATCACTTGCAACCTGTCGAATGTTGTTTCTCGAACAGTCTCAAGCAAAATGTCCCGGCTTCCCACGAGTGTAACAAGCTGCCACACCTTTTCCTTTCTGGTCTTTGCCTTTTCCTTTGCCCTGGTCATCACCTCCTTTTCCTTTCTGTTCTCCTTTTCCTTTCTTTCCTTTGCCTTTGGCATCCTTACCTTTGTCCTTTTGATAGTCATTCTTAACTTTCTTGCCCTTGCCTTTGGCATCTTGAATTCGATCAACGTCCATAGGCATGGGTCCTTGATAGTTTGTACTGCTACTTGCCACCATACTACTGCTGAGAACGATCCCATTGCAACACTTGTTCCTCAAAGTTGAGTATTGAACATTGTCGCCAATATTCAAACTCAAGTAGGATTTGAACTGTCCACCTACACATTACACATCTCAAAAGAATAGCAGATATCAACTCTTCTTGAACTGTTGTTCCCGATTTGACCGTCTCATCAAATACCCTTCAAGCTTAAGAAGTTGAGGTTGTAGAGCACTGTTCATAGAAAATGCTGGCCATGTAGTGGCTGCTCCCAAGGGTGCTAATCCTCTTACCCTTGAACTAGCTTTCAAAGCTTTGTTCAAACTCCTCCAGGCATCAAATCCATTGGAGCCCTCCACGGCTTTCACGCCCTGCCCCTCATCAACGAAGCTAACAATCCATAGAGCTTGATGCACTGGTTTTCTCTTCTCCAGTTGCCAAGTCCATGTCAAAGTTCTCGTTTGGCTTGTCATGAGTCTCTTTCAAGTCCTTCACGTAAGCCTCATCCACTGAGCATAGATACTTCTCAAATACCCATGACCACTCTCTGATCGCTTTGATCTCTTCTTCTTGTGACCTATAGTCAAATAGATTGGTTTTTGTGATCAACTTTGACCGATCTGCTGTAGTTGCTTGTCTTCAACTGCCTTCTTCACTGCCTCAGCTGCTGATGTTGTTGCTTGCAAACTCTGTGCTATAACTTGACGGATTGCTCTGATTTCTTCCATCCTTGTCGCACAATAATGTCCTTCTGACACAATGTACGGGGTACAGAGTGCAGCTCACAACAATTTTTCACCAGTCCAGCTATATATTTGAGTTCCAAAGGCCCCCAAATCTATGGCTCGAAAACGCTCCCGGGATCCCAGTGACCTAGGGGCTTTTCTCCGCTACCATGCGAACTGTTCTCGATGCACAAAAAGGGCTGCGGTCAGGTGAGAATGTCAATCATGCTATAGGATGCTATGATCTACAGTACCTTGAAATTTATTCACAATACAAATTTTGAATGAACTCTCGATCATTGTGGCACTTCAGCTAAAATGGAACACGATCGAGGGTGAATCTAGAAGGTGCGCTTAGTCTGGTCGTTCACGAAGAGTCTCTCCAAAGTATCCCAGCATTCATTGAGTTTCATTGCACTTGATGCCTCTGCGGCCTTCAACTTTCTCTCTCCTTCAACGCGCCTTTTAGCGACTCTCAGTGAAGCTGTGATTGTTATGTGCACAAGTGCTACAGCTTCTCTGAGTCCAAAACACAGGTTCGACAGCTTCAACAGCTTCGCGCAAACGCACTTCCTGGTTGCCTGCCTCAGGTTTGTTCATGCTTGCGTCGAACAACTTACACAAAAAGGGTTGAAGGCAGTCACACAATCAAGGCAAAGCCAAGCTGACAAGGGTTCCAATTCTATGGACTGCTTCTCATGTTGTTGATTTTGATCACATTTTCTTCCTTTGTCTCAAAGTACAGTAGTTCCACAAATACAAACTGACAGGTGGAAACCAGGGTTAGCAGACCTTGCCCACACTGACGAATCGAGTCCCCTTCAATTGACAATTCTTTTCCAAACAAACAACTTTGATTGTCCAACAAACGAGCCAATTGAATAACTCCTTTGTGTGCTTCTTCAGAAAAGGCCCGATTGTCTATTGACTTCAAGAAACCCACTCTGAAACAAGAGGCATCCCTTACGAAATGAAATACTATATATACCAGTTACTAGCGGAGTCTCACTGCAGGGGCTGCAGTGAGGCTGTGATCCCTTGTTGTTCGCATTCGTAGTCTTCGGAGGGTGGGATCAACTGTCACCATTGGTGCTGGTAAGGACATGGGACGGGTTTCACCTTGCAAAAGTAGCTGTGAGAAGGACTATATAAAGTAAACAAAGGGGGCAAGGGCCACACAAGCAACAAAGAATCAAGACCTATCTAGATGAGTTCAATTGCCAGTTGAATGTCCCTCGTAGCCTGTATCTCGTGGAAAGAACTCTACACCGCAAGGAACCCTACACGAAACATCAAGAAACATAGCCATAGCTATGAGACGTTTGCCAGACCGGCGTCGGGCTTGCTGAGTTTCAAGCTGCTTCTTGCAACTTCAGAATCTTTGCGTCGCGTTTGGCGATCTGCCAAGCTACACAACCAAACATACTTGAACAAAAGCAAGTCTACCAAAAGCTTCTCCTGCCTCATCCCGCCACGGTTTGTCACCCTTGCTCAATTGGGCTTTCAAAGCCCGAATCTAGTCAAGCACAAATGATTCTGGGGCGCTCTCCATTCAATGCCAAACGTTGCCAACTTAACGGACCTCGTCAATGTAGGGTAGCTTGTCTTTTTCTCTGGCGATCTGGGCAACGGCAATATTCTGGGCAACGCAATATTGTAGAACTTGGAGGGTGTGGCTGGCCAGTATTTTGCACTGCTTCACTACACAGCAAACTCTTGCAGCACCTTTTCTTTCTCCAGCTGCTCCTCACAATGAAGCGAGGTATCTGAAAACAAGAACAAAGTTCACACAGCCACCTGCAATTCCCTTGTTGCACTGAGGAGCTGTTGGTACGATCTCCCGGCACACCTTGAAAACACTCGGAAAAAGACGCCAGCTTCAGCTCTTGCTTGAAAATGTATATATATATATATACATAATTATAGATTATAATTCAACATCTACATATACCAGAGGCAGGTGGGTTTACACGATGAGTGGCAATTTGCGGGTTGCATTTGTCGTGACCACCTGTCTGCAGTGCTCTTTGCTGATCCGTGTGTGCATTTAGGAACTGATTCATGGTGGTTTGGCCATGAAACTTTTGAAAGAGACTTGAGGAGGCTGTCAGCTTGGTGTGCAAACAGGCCTTTAACCTGAGGTACGTAGCGCCGTGACATGGCTAATTAACCTTAAACCCTCATCAAACCGGATTGGTGCCATCTTGGTTTTGCATATGTTGTCAAGTTCCTTGCGGCATGCTTTCGGAACTGAAGAAGCCTTCTCCTTTTCAAGTGCGTAGCAGGGTAGAGGAGGCCCCCCCTCACTCTGCCTCCCCATTTGTTCTTGCACATAGGGGAGCCACTGTCACCGCCCCTTGTTTGGGTGGTCCATTAACTCGATGCATTCCTAAGGCGGCAAGCTTACGCTACAGGATGAGGGTTGGGGAGGTCGACTCGGCATGTGGACCTAATTCTGGCATGTTTGCTCGACTCCCTATGTTCTATGTAGAAACGCTCTCTTTTTGATCTCGCTGACGCTTGAATAGGCCACTTGAGTTGTAAAAGCAGCTTGACATGGTTGTCAATAAACTCTTGCGTGTCAATCCCTTTCAGCCCTGGAGCTTGCCTTCAACCGTGTTTGGACGTCCTCACCTACTGGGTCAATGGATTCGAGTGGCATTGATCGAAGCTTTGATAGATGAAGCTGCTGGCCACCAACCAGAAAAGAGGTGCGTTATTGAGAAGAATGTGTGCCTCTACACTAGCATCTTTTCCCAAAACAAAGACCTTCAAGTAGAAAAACTATCCGAGATTGGGTACAGAAGAAAGGCAATCAAGGCTGCAAGACATATGCATTCACAAAGACAATCAAGTCTAGCTTCCCAACAAACTTATCATTACGAAAATGCTGATTTGAAAGAGCTCATTCTACCCATTAGATGCGCATTGCTCTCGCGATTCACAAAATCTACTGCCTTCAATATTCTTGCTGCTTGAACTAACTACCAGACCTCAGCTGAATGGAGAGTTCCTTCTGAACCGCAATCGCTTCTTTTTCCCTATCTTCCAGCTTGGCCTGCGAGATGCTCTGCAAGATGCTCCGCAAAAGGCTCTGCAAGACTTTTGCTCCCTTTCAGGCATACCCATGCCTTCAAGGACTCCTGTTCAAGTCGCGCTTTTTGTCGCTCACGTTCAACATGGTCCTGGCACATTGCAAGTGTGGCATGCTGACAGCAATGTTAAAACAATACGGAAACTGACAAACGCATGTGATAGGAGAGCTACTGTTTTGCAATTTAAGGCAAGGCCTGCTAAAATGTTCTCCCGGAGTCCTTAATAATTCCAACCTCATGAATTAAGCCAGCATACCTGAGTCAAAAGCAAAGGACTTGCTTTGAAGTTGTCGGGCCCGATAAAATTTACATTATGCAAGGCACTTTTTGATGTTGCCCTGCTCAGCTCCGCCGTCCAGGCCTGAATGCAAGTCGTCAGTGTAAGTCAAATTGTTTGCACAACTTGATGTATATAGTTCTGTGCAAATTGAGTGAGCCCATGTCTCTCTTCCAGAGGCATTGTTCAGGCGGCGCGTCCCAGGCCTATTGACCTTCCGGTGACAAGTGCCAGCAAAACTCAACCAACTTTCGATCCAACGACACCAAATTCTCTGATAAAATAGTGTCTGCCTGGGAAATGTGCAATATGCCAACCGTTTCAACTTCTCCAACTTGCAGGCTATGCAACTAGTGAAGGAATGTGAAACACATAAGCCTGCGACGTTTTATCGTTTGATTTAAATTTTTATCGTAGGGGTTTGACAACAACGTTCAGCTCACTTGTCGTGAACCCGACGCTGCAGAAGTATGGAAACTGAAGTGATGATAGCACCATTTCAGGTACTGTTCTACAAACCTTGAAACCAACATTGCCAAGCCTTGGGTCTGGCGAGGGATATGGCACGCAAAGTTGAATATGTGGCCACGAACGGTCTAATGAATATGTTTGTGTTTCCTGGTGGTTGGCCATGGGTTAAGAAAGCCAACAAAAAAAACTAGTGTCGCCTTCGACTTTGAAACCAGGAGAATGTCGGCCAATCTGAAAAAATTGGAACTGAAACCATACGGCTGCAACTTCGATGAAAACAAGCGACCATGGCCAAGGTGAAGTCTGCCTTAAGTGTGAAAAATATATGCACATGTTGTATATGCATCCACTGGGTTCGATCACACCGTTTGGGACGCACTGGTGGCAAGCCTTTGCTTCCTGAAAGGGAGCAGCGTTTTCTCCAAAAATTGATCATTTAACAATTGCGATCATTTTTGACCGTTCTTTTTGTCTGGCAAGAACCCCCCCTGCTCAACGTCCGTTTGGCTTACATTTCACAAACTGTCAGTCGGCACTCTGCTTTCTTCTTTTCAGAAAACGGGATGCAAACTCCATGCAAGGTTGCACGTCTGGCCTTCGGAGATTGTTTCAAATACACACGTGGTTTGTTGCTGCATCAAGGTTTGGCCTACAAGGCCCTCCGCTACATCACCTGACCAAAGCAAACGTCACAGCATCATTGTCTCCAACTGTCCACCACAAACGATGGGGTTCAAAATTTGCAGTGCTAACCTTAGAGTAAGGAGTTCTAGCTCCTAGATATTGCTCTTATAAATATGTCATTCATTCGTTTGGTCTCATGAGAGTTTACACAAGAAACAGGCGCACTCTTTTCTTCTCTGAGTCAACGGGGAGTCAGGTCCTGGTCTCCCCCTTTTCAAGACCTGATTCCTCGTTTTGAAAAGACTCAAAAGAACATGATCGAACAATGCTCTGGCTTCCAGGCTCTTGCATTTTGCGGCTTCAAGCAAGGATGCTCAGCTCCCTGAGAGGGGCAGTCGCCGATGTTCGCTTCGGTAGGCACGCGAGCAAACCATGCTTGTGAACTAGAAGTGGACACATGGTGCAGGTGATGTCCCATCAAGGCTCTTCCCACTTCACCTTCTGCGGAGCCTTTTATCAAAGAAAATCAATGACAAACGGGGCCAGAGTCGCGCCAGGCGCTAACACGTTTGCTCCATCCTCACTTGCTCCTACGTATTCTAGGGCACAACAATCGGCAAAAGTTCGTACCCCAAAGTCGACACAGCCTGGCACCAACACTATAACCAGTGCAAAACAGCCTTGGAACGCAGAGTTCTGTATGGACACAACCGTACTCGGCAGTTTAACCACTTGCAACTGGTTGCAGTTTTGCCACGCTTCTCTTTCCACCGTGTGCAAGGTAGGCCAGACATGTCTCAGGCGAGGCACTGACGAGAAGGCGTTGCTCGGGATCACCCCTTTGGCGTTTGCAGGGATCCAGATGGCTCTGGGATAGTCTAAACAATCTTCCCCTTGGATTTGGTGCGTGTGTTCGCAAGTTTCGAAACATTGTCGCACTACAAGATGAAGAGGTGCGTATCATCCCTCAGCACATCCTGGATCGGGTCTGTCAGGGCTTCCTGGTTGTGTGGATGTAGGAGGGCTAGTTCACAGCCCAAGGTGTCAATCTGACTCACCATTGGCAAAGATTCCACCAAAAGATCTTCTAGCGTTTCCCAACTGCGATGGTCTCTCACTAGGACCGGAACTACAATTTCGTTTCCTCCCAGGGTGGTGAGAGTAAGGTGATAGGGGGCGCCGTCTGCCAATTCTTCTCCGGGACTTGGGTGCGGTCTGCGAGCGTCTGCCATACGTCTGCAGCATCAAGCAAGAAATATGTCAGTGCTGTGAGCCAAAAGTGACCGGCCACTCCGGCTTTTGCAGGCATGTGAAGGTCCTCACAACAACCTTTTCCTCTACCTAGCAGTGGGGTGGTGAGTATGTGTGAAAACACAGTAGCAACGCGTCCTTTTCGGTCCCGCTCCTTGAGCCAAAGTTACAGTCATTTATAGACTGTCTTCAAGTGTCCTCTTAGCTTCTTAGAAGCACATCCACTCTTCTTGAAAGAGTACATGACTGTACCTAGTCATCTCCAAACTACACAAACTGCAAGGAAACTACATCAAACAGTCTCTAAAGACATCGTGCTCTACCAAAAGGTTCTCTAAGCAGTTCCTAGCCACAAGTTGCCACTTCAAATATCCTCCTGCTAAGGTGGTCAAAGGTCAAACACAAAAAGGGCACAGACCTCCACTCAGCTCCAACCCCAAGCACTCCAAAAACGAAAATTCCCTAAAGAAGCAAGCACTAGGTGAGCCATACGCTGTACACGTGCGCTGTACGCTACTTTTCACACCCCTTCTTGGGTCGCCTAGGGCTACCTGCCTTCTTCTTCTGTCTTCTTCTCTTCTTCTGTTCGTTTTGTTGGAGCAACTAAGGATCAGACATCAACTAAGATCCAAACTTCTGCCCTCAAAGGTGATCTCAATGACATCAATCCAGAGGTAAACTCGAGCTCAACCCACGCCAAACTCCAGATCCATCAAAGAATCAACTTCGACCTTCAACCAACACGCATTCAACCATGGGTCATGGAATCTCATGGGTTGATTCCTTATTTCACTGACCCTTTTAAACCTCATCATCGAGATCCTCAAAAGCACAGTGATCTAGAGTTACCATGCCGCGCAGACCTCTGACCTCAAGACCTGACAAGTTCACAAAGTTGACATCGACTGCAAAAGATGAAAACTCCCAAGGTTACCTAGACACAAACTTGCAATGAACATAGTTGCAAACAAGCACAAGTGAACTCGCAAGAAACTCGCTGGAAGCTAAACCTGCGATGAACGAAGCTCCAAGCAACTGCACAAGACATCACAAGAAACTCTCTCTAGAGGTTACCTGGTCATGAACTGGGTTCCAAACATCCTGAATCAGGTGAACTCGTCTTGCCACAGCAAACTCAAACTCAAAATCACAAACCCTTTGCCACACTGCACGTGTCTAATTCCACCTGCCTTTCTGATCTTCCTTTCTCTTTCTGTTTCCTTTCTTTCTCTTACTTCCTCTTGCTTTCTCTTGCTTCCTCTTGCTTTCTCTTGCTTTCTCAAGACAAGATAAAATCTTCAAACATGAACTCTCCAAGCAACAAGCAAGCAAGACACGAACAAAATAGCCTCCAAATCATATTTCCATAGATTGAACCTGACATCACACGTTCAAGCATGCCTCAAGCCAAGGTCAAGCCAAGTTCAAGCATGGTGGCACATGATGTTCTGAAAACACAAGGAAACACTAACAAAGATGACCTCCTTTTTCTTTTTCGTGGTGCAAGCTGCTGGGACGCGACAAATGGCCTTCTAAAAATCATGCCATTCCTCTGATGGCATCTCGCCAGTCCAAGGCATTACAAGCTAGGATCAGGCTGCCATCCTTTTGGGATAGTCATGACAGATCCATCAGCAAGCTTCACCTTCTTAAACCCTGGCGCTGGTCACTCCTGGGCGTCGCTCTGGCACAGCTGGCGGCTGTGGCAAACTGGTACCAGGAATCTTGCCCCCTCCAAGCGCTGGATTCTGAAAGGCTGCCGGGATCGTACTGGCCCCTGGACTTCCCATAGCCACCGATGGTGCCTGAAAGGGCGGTGGTGTCGAAGTCTGCTGCTGAGCGATATTCTGGGTGGCATGCCGAATGGCGATCCGTTGCCCTTCAATCAACTCTTTGAGCAACTGGTATCCCTCTTTGACATTTTCATTGAGGGCCACCACGCCCTCGTACGTGCGCTGCGAATTTTCAACCCCTTGGCGAGCAGCGCATTGTTCTCCCCAAGAACCTTGCCCTGGCTGAGGAGTTGTTCCTTCATCGATATGTTGCTCAATTTCCCTGAGCCCGCGACCTGCCAGGTCGCGTTCTCGATATTCTTCGAGAGCTGACGCAGGACATTCAGGATAGGTCCTGCATTGTCGCCATTGACCTTGACATGAGCTGTCAAAGCTAGTAACCCTTCAGATAGCTTCACGACAGTGTTGGTCTGATCCGTCATGGCCGGTCCAAGGCTACTTGCCGAAACGCAGATCTTCGTTGCCGCCTCTGAGATTTGACTCAGAGCTTTGGAGACTCCACCAAAACGGTGGGTGGCCCATACCAGGGTATCCAAGAGGGCTTCCGTTTTCACCTCTTGGGTGGGCGGAGCAACTTCCGCTGGTGAGTCCTCAGTAGAGCGATCAACTTCTGCATTTGACAGTTGCAGAAGTTTCTCAAAATAGGCCCAGGCATAGACCCTGGCCGCTGCTCGATACAACACCAGTTTCTGCTCCATTTCTTGGACCTCTGACCGCAACTCCACCAAGGATTTGCCACTGTACTCATTCAGTCCCTCTGGCACTGTGGTTGGAAATAGAGTGGAGGGGTCCACTCCGCCAACCTCCTGGCCTCACAGTTCCAAGGTCATATGCTTCAAAGCATGCAACTTGCCCTCATGGTTGGATCCGGCGGTGTCGAATCGATATTGACTCAACTCCAAGAAGCTGACTCCCATCAGGTCCCGATTCTCAAACAACACACTGCGAAACGTCGGGAGACCTGGCGCCACGATGCTGGGCAAAGGGTTGGAGCTTGGCCCAGTGGTCATCGTCGATGATCAAAGGATGGCGAGAAAAGGCTTG